ATTGTACCTGTCTTGCTTGAACACAGTGTCTGGGAGCTGTTCCTGAGCATTTTTGCTCAAGTTAATTGGAGATAATAGTCTCATGGCCTTTTCTGCCTAAGTTGGCTTCAAACTACAATTCTCAGATCTCAGCCTCCTTAGTAGCTAGGGTTACAGGCATGAACCACCAGTGTCCAGTCTCCTTCTTTCTTTCCTGCTCAATTTTTATCACCTCATAACTCTCCTGGTTTATACTGTGAGGAACTGGAAGCCCAGCATGGAAGAGTATTCTCAGAGAATATTTGGGGCCTTATGGTGCACTGGTACTCTGCCAGGGGATGTTGGTCAAGGTGACTTTTTTCCACGTGTCCTTATTCTGTTCTTTTGGCATCTGTATATGCTAATTTCATAGGAAAACAGAATAAGAGAAAGTTTTACTGTTATTCCCACTCAATGACTGCTGTAGATGCTATTTCAGGTATGCAACAGTGGTGTGTTTATCCTTACTGTGTGCCAGCTCAAGTAGACTTCACAGAAAAAAATGATGTATCTAATAGAATGGCTGACAAAAGAATGACCAGGAGAGATAGGGCTTTTATGACATTTTTCTACCCTCACAGCAATAAATAAGTAAATTGGCAAGTCAAATAATCAACCTCAGATGATGATAAGCAATTGAGATGCATCAACAGGACACTCAGGACAGAGATAAGCATGGAATGTTAGATCAAGGAGGACATTATAAGAAGGTGAAGTTGAAACTGGAATACAAAGGTTGAAAAGACCCAGGAAAAGTTTCTTGGCCAGAGTTCTCAAGGTTGGCATTACTGACATTAGGAATTTGATAGTTCTTTATTGTGGAAGTCTGTCTCATATGTTGTAGAACATTTAAGAGCATCCTCACCAACTATTACAACTACATATTCTATGTGTTGCTAAATGTCCCACAGGAGACAAAAATCTCCTGTCTTCCCCCTTTGGTATGAGAACTACTTTTCTATGCATAGCAAATAAAGAATGGAGAGCTTTAAATAGCATGGCCTACTGCTAAGGGAGTAATGACAAATCATTTAGGGGTCTGTTGCCTTGGCAAGAATTTTGCATTTTATTCTATATATTTCATTAAGCAATTTTAAGTTGGAGGCTAATATAGCGGTACTTTAAATAAATTTCTTTGCTTTGTAGGAAATGGATTTAAAATTATAACAATAAGTGAAATATCAGAATCATGTGCCATCATTTATAGATTAAAAAGTACCGGGCATTGGTGGCTCACACCTCTAATCCTAGCTACTCAGAAGGCTGAGATCTGAGAATCTCGGTTCAAAGCCAGTCTAGATAGGAAAGTCTGGGAGACTCTTATTTCCAATAAGAAAGAAGGAAAGGAAGGAAGGAAGGAAGGAAGGAAGGAAGGAAGGAAGGAGGGAGGAGGGAGGGAAGGAGGGAAGGAGGGAGGGAAGGGGGAGGGAAAAGAAAAAGAAGCCAAAAGTGGAGCTGTAGCTCAATTGGTGCAGCTCTAACATTGAGCAAAAGAAGCTCAGGGTCAAGGTCCAGGCCTTGAGTTCAAGCCCCAGAATCCACAAAAATAAACAAGCAAGTAAAGATGAAAAGTTAAAAAGAAAAGTAGACAGAAAGAGGAGCCAATGAACTAGGAGGAAAGCATGAGATGTATGTGCTGTCTTGTTTTTTTGTTGTTGTTTTTGTCTCTTTTTTTTTTTTGCTGTTGTGTGATAAACACTTGGGAAAGGCATCTTAAAGGAAGGAATGATTGATTTGGGCTCATTGTTTCAGTCCATGGTTGGTGGTGGGATGCAAGTCAACAGAGCACTGAGCCAGTAGGAGGGTATGGAGGAGAAGGTTGTTTACCTCATGTTGGAGAGAAGGCAGCAGAGTAAGAAGGTTCTGGGGACCAAAGTACTTTCTTCAAACCACCAAAGAACATGTCTCCCGTGACCTATTTCCTTCAATCACATCTACTAGTTTCCAGACCCCCAGCTGAGGACCAAGCACTGAACACATGATCCTCAGGAGAATATTCTATATTCCAGCTCCAGTAGCAGGTCACAGAGGGAGTAGCTGATTGTGACTAGATTTTTCTGGCAAACTCATTTCTGAGTCACAGCCTAAAGATTTTTCTTCTTGTCTAGCTAGTTTCTCTAGAATTCTTAGTATTTGCTTCCAAACCAGTCATCCTTTTCCAGATCTCACAAAGACCATCACAACAACCCTGAACTGGCCTTGCTCATTTTTATGTTCTAGAATTTTGTACTCATCACAGTCATAGCCCTTCCTCAATGCCTATCAATGACTGCCAGTGAATTTTTGAAGTTGAAACTCACATTTAATCTCCCACAGAAATCTTTCCCAACATTTTAACCCACATAGAATGTCTGTATTCTCTAAAATACATGGCTAAAAAATAAAAACTTCCAACTTTTCACTCCATTCAGGAAATAGGGATTTTTTTAAGCCTCTCTCAGATATCAGACTGTGCCCAGAACTACAATGAAAAAATAAAACCCCATACTCCCTGCTCTCTAGGGCCAGAATAGTGTCATCATTAATATGCTTCTTAGGAAAACAGGTTTTGTCTAGGATCTAATCCTGAGTCAGTTTCTTAGCTACTACTTCTGGGTGCCATACTGCACTACCTCCTAGCTCAGTCATGGCTTGCCCCACCCAAAGCTGCAGATTGCTGCCTGTCACTATTGGATAATAGCAATCCAGGACAGAAGTTGTTCCTACCAGTAATCAGTGGTAAGGTGAAATTCAGCCATAGTAGTACTGCTCCCAAAAACCTCGGTAATCAAGAATAATGCTAAGCACATAGGCATGCTGATGCTGTGAACTCTGGCTGGACCTCAACAGAACCAATCTAGGGGTTTGTTTTCTGGCATTTTTATTCTTGTTTTTGTTCTTTCTTCCATTTGTTTTACTTTCTTTCTTCCAGATGTTTTACTTTTAATTTTTTTCATCCAGGACTAAAGGTAATTTTGATAAGCAATGTATTTAAACTGTGTGTTGTGACTTTCCTAACCACAAACTTTTCTGGGAGCAATTCCTATCTTGGTAGGGAGTATGGTACCAAATTCCTTCTTTTTATGTTTGCTTACAACCCTGCAACCTTGATGTTTAAACTGGAGCCCACTATGACACTATCATTTAAAGGGCAGTACTTAAATATGCCAAGAACTATAGTTTAAAAAGTGACTGAATCAAATTTTTGAGTTAAAGGATGAGTATTCTGTAATCACCTCTAGGGGAGTGAGGAGGTAGTACGAGTTTTTATTATCCACAATTCATGTTATTTCTAGAAGTGATTGCTTTGTCAGTTACATTTACAGAGAAATAATTATAGTATGATATACACTTTATAATAGAAATAACTCCAAAATGGATAAAAGAAGGACAAGTCTGACTCAAGAACTGTGAAAGGATCCAAGAAACATTGAAAGAAACTAGTAGGACCCCAGAACAGCAAGTTTAGGATAGCTAGTGTGGAGAAAATGAGGAAAAAACACCAGGTTAAGGTTAACCCATGAGGCCTGATCATGGAGGGCATGAAAAAAATCCTCAGCAGAAGAGTATCATGATCACATTAAAAAAATGACTAACAGCATGGAGATGGGAGTGAGGAAGAACTGGAGGACATTATGTGGCTTTTATGATAGTCCAAGGGACATGAGTCAGAAGAGATGATGACTACTTGAAGGACTAAGATAGTGAGAATGGAGATGAAAAAGGGATGTATCAGTAAATGAATCAACGAAGTTTGGTGTGGATAGTGCAACAGTAGAATAGGCATACTTATAGATTTCTGCCCTGGACAATGCCATTATCTGAAACAGAAAACGGAAGTGACGTACATTTCAGAGGGGTGGGGCGAGACCTGACTTTAAAAGTGATCATTGAGAGGCCCATATCCATCTGGGACATATTTATTTATTTGTGTGAAATACAAATCAAAAGGTCTAAAAGAGCTTAATTTTATTTCCCTCAGTAAGAGATTGTCTCAAGGACTATAAAGTCCTATTTGTTTACTACCAACCCCCAATATTTCTTCATCCTAGCTCATCAAATAAAAGACTTACTTATGCCTAAATCTTTTTTTTCATTAGTATGCACTTTTGATTGCTGTTGACGCCAACGATTGTGGGTTTTTTTTCTCTTTTAATAACGTATGTCTGTGCGCGCGCCAGTACTGGGGGGGACTTAAACCCAGGACACTGTCCCTTAGTTTTTCTGCCCAAGGCTGGCACTGTGCCACTTGAGCCAGGGCCTCACAGCTTTCTGTCTCATGGGCTTTCCTGTTTGGGCTGGTTTCCAACAGCGATCCTCAGATCTCAGCCTCCAGAGTAAACCAAAATCACTGCGGCACACGCGCGCGCGCGCACACACACAGGTTCAGCTCAGTTCTTAGCTGGTAACTGGAAACCGCGTCACGGGTCACCCGATTTGTCCTGACAATTAGCCGTTCACCAGGTCACCGGTCTCGGTGAAACCTCTCACTTTATGAACGGTCCCGGAACCGCCGCCCGGGGGTGCATCGGCCCCGCGGCGGAGGCCGCGCCGTCTCCGGCGGGCCGCGCGCCGCTCCCAGGCCGGGAACCCGCGCTCCCAGGCCCGCAGCGCGCGCGCCTCCCCCGCAACACCGCCGGGCCCCCGCGCGATCACCACGCGCTGCACGCAATCACCGCGTTTCCTCGAGAACCGACTTCCGGCTCCATGACACCGGGCGGCCTCGCCCACACCCACCTTTCCCCGACCACGAACCCCAACCACGCCTCGCTCCCGCTCCCGCTGGGGCGAGGAAACCCGGCACGCCGCAAATCTCGCGGGATTTCGCGCCTCCGGAGTAAGCCAATTGAACCGCGCGCCCTCATCGAACCCCCGCGGGAATAGAGCATTGCGTGATGGGGGTGGGCCCAGCGGAGAGGGGGCGGGGCCTCAGGAAGGAGGGGCCTCAGGAAGGCGGGACTCTGGAGACCTGTTGATCGCAGGTGTCAGTGCCCAGACTGGCCCCGGGGTGGCGGGGCCGTGTGCGCATGCTCCTTGTGGGGTCGGGCTCCAGTTCCCGGAGCACCCCGGCGCGGTGGCGGCTGTTGGGGTGTCTGTCGGGTGTTGGCGTGAGGCGGAGCGGGGTCAGCGCGAGGTAGCTCTGTGGGAGTGGAAGGCCCGGGTGCGCTACCTGGACAGCACGCTCGCGGCGCCGGGTGAGTCTCCCAAACTGTAGTGGTGGGTGGGGACCCCCGGCCCGGGCCTAGCCAGGAACGAGTGTCTCGGTGGGGACCCCCGACCCGCCACCCTCCGGGCCTGACCGGGATGGGATCCCCAAGACCTGCCACCCTCCGGGCCTGGCTGGGCACTAGTGTCTGGAGGGGACCCCCCCCCCCCCCCACCCCGGACCTCTCACCCTCCGGGCCTGACCGGGAACTCGTGTCTGGATGGGGAGCCCCGGACCTCTTACCTTCCGGGCCTGATGGGGACCCCCAAGACCTGCCACCCTCCGGGTCTGACCCGGGCACCTTCGCCCCAGCCCATCCCTCAGCACCCTTCGCAGCCCCGCGACTCTGTCTGCACCTGACCCCGCAAGCAGAAACCAGCTGCCGGGATCCCTGAGTCCCGCAGCCCCCTCCCGCGGCTCTGGAGCCCAGGCCTCTGGCCCGGCCGGAGGGCCAGGTGGTGGCCGCGGGGCCCGAGGGCGGGGATGGGGCAGACTCTGGAATCCAGCTGCGGTTCCTCGGGGCGGGTGGGGATCCGGGAAGGTGCGCTACCTCGGCGCCCGCCCCGGCCTCTCCCCGCGCTCTGGTCCCTTCTTGGGAAGGGAGAAGGGGCTGGATTCCCGAGAATCGTGGAGTTGGTGGTGTTCTTGGTGGTGCAGGACAGGTATAAAGTTAATGTTTAGCGTCCAAATAGCGCGACCAACTGCTTTTAAACTGTGTTGGGGAACGGGAAGTGCTTGCCCAGGTGTAAACTCTTGCAGTGTAAGGTTATCCCACTACGAGGTTTGTTTGAGGTTTGAGGTTTGTTGAAGCGGGGCTTTGGTGCTCACTGAGTGAGTTCGTTCTGCACCCCCTTATCTGTTAAGCAGCAAAGTTTTCTAAATGTTTCCTTGCCTAAGAAGAAAACAAAAACATACATACATATACTCTTTAAGGAATTTTCTAGGCTACTTTTGGGCAGACAGTTAATTGTGGAGTTCCTTAGCTTTTTGTGAAGTCTTGCTAATTTTCACTATTTTAAAAGGAATAGTAAAAGGGACTTTTGGTAAAATTGACACATATTTGTTAGCTTTGTTTTCTGTACTTTTTAGTTTCTTTTTTTTAACATTTTAAGTTTTTAAAAAGTGTTACTATAAAAGAGGTAAACAGGGGTTACAGTTGCATAAGTCAGGTCCTGAGTACATTTCTTTTTGGAAAATGTCACCCCGTCCATCATTCTCTCCCAGTTTTTCCTTTTTCCTTTCTTGATGATGGTCCTATGCAAAGATTCCTCCATCTTGTTAAAAAGAACCTTAAAAAAGGAAAAGATGAGCAAAACTTACTCTGCGAAAAGTAACATGTGACTTATTTACTCCGGTCATAGAATTCAAAATAGATTCACTGTAGGTAGGCATTATGAAAAATAAGTATGGTTTTAATTTTTTGTGTGTGTGTGGCTGGTGGGGCCTGTACTCTGGGCCTCGGCACTGTCTCCCAGCTCTTCAGCTGTAGACCAGTGCTCTACCACATGAGTCTCAGCCCCACTGCCTGCTTTTTCTGCTTATGTGGTGCTGAAGAATAGAACCCAGGGCCTCGTGCATGCAAGGCAAGCGCTCTACCACTGAGCCACCTTCCCTGCGCTTGGTTTTACATTTGTATTTTACTGTTTTACTTTCAAAAGAGCTCACTTGGAGTTTGTTTAGATTTATAATTACTGGTTATAAATTATGAAGGTGATTTATTTAAAGTTGTTCATAAATTAACTGGTAGTGGCTTTTTCCCAGTCACCTAAAATGTGAAATTGTAGATTGCAAACAATTCATGGAACTTGACACTGATAATCAGTTCATTAATACTATTTTTTCTAAAAGATACAAAAGTAAAATTTTATGGAGAGGGAAACTGGAGATTGAAACTCAGGGTTTCATATTTGGTAGGAAAAGTTATGCGTTTAGCCCTCAAAAAGTAGTTTTTTAAAAAAGTTTGTTACTTTTGACACACTAAATATTCTTTCCAGCACTTGTAGGATTTCAGTATGTATTGTGATTCAAGATCTTTCATACTGTTCAGTGTCAAATATTTTATACTGTCAAGAACTAGTTTTCATACTATAGGTTTTAGAAGTTTTTTAAGCAAGATAAAACTAAAAATGAGAATTTTAGCCTACTTTAAGTTTATACACACTTTTTTTGTTGTTGTTGATTGTTGGGCTTGAACTCTGGGCCTGGGTACTGTCCCTGAGCTCTTCAGCTTCAGGCAAGTGCTCTACCCTTGAGCCACAGTGCCACTTCTGGTTTTCTGGTAGTTAATTGGAGATAAGAGTCTCCCGTGCTTTCCTGCCTGCGCTGGCTTTGAACTGTGATCCTCAGATCTCAGCCTCTTGAGTAGCTAGGATTACAGTCATGTGCCCCTGGTACCCAGCTAAATTTATAAACACGTTTAAGAAGCATAATCAGTTGCCTTTTGGGAAAGTACTGGGCTGAAGGAATGTTGCTCGACTTTGCAAAAAATATATTCTTTATAAAGTAAAAGATTAAGCTACTTGAAAAGATGTTTGGTTATTAAAATTCTTAGCAGCTCTTATTATTTGACAATTGTAATGCATTTTAACATTATAGATTCCAGAGACAAATTTCAGTAGCTTGAAAGCTTATTTATTGCCTCTGTAACATTTTGAGTACATTCGGTAAGGTGTAAAATTCTTGCTCATGAGCTCTTAGATGTGTGTGTTTGTGTGTGTGTGAGAGTGTGAGTATATGAATGTGTATGTATGTGTGTGTATGTGGGACTTGAACTGAGGTCTTGGGCACTCACTGTACCTGAGCTTTTTTGCTGAAGATGGGTACCCTACTACTTGAGCCATAGTTCCACTCTGGCTTTGCAGTAATTTATTGGAGATAAGAGTCTCAGGGACAGTTCTGGCTGGCTTTGAGTTAGTAACCTCAGATCTCAGTCTTTTGAGGTCTAGAATCTGGCTAGGATTACAACTGTGAGCCACAGCACCTGGCTTATGAGTTCTTGTTTTAAGGAAAGACGTGCTGGTTTATGTCATTTTTGAAGAGCTAGGTAGAAATTAGTGATGATATAAATGTAGCATTGGTATATTACAAATTTCATATTGAAGAAATGTTTTTAGAAAAATGCTACTATACACATTATAGGAGCAACACATGGATGCAACAGATATTTATTTCTTCAGATAAAACCAGTCAATGGTAATTTAAAGATTAAATAATTTTAACCTTGGGAAGCAAGTTATGGTGAGTTTTTTTTAAAATGAATAGTTGGAACATTATAGATAATACATATACAAGCCAGGTGTCAGTGGCTCATGCCTGTAATCCTAGCTACTCAAGAGGCTGAGATCTGAGGATCACAGTTCAAAGCCAGCCAGGGCAGGAAAGTTCATGAGACTCTTATCTCCAATTAACCACCAGAAAACTTGAAGTGGCGCTGTGGCTGAAGTGGTAGAGCACTACTTGCCTTGAGCTGAATTGCTCAGGGACAGTACCTAGGCCCAGAGTTCAAGCCCCACAACCGACAAAAAATAAATATATAAAAACATAAACTATTTAGCCAAAAACATTTGTACTGTTTTCTTCCCAAGTTTAATTCATCTCCTCTATCTTTGTGTAGTCCAGGCTGGTCTCAAATTTGGACTACTTCTGCTTTGGCCTCCCAAGTGTTGAGATTATATAGGTTTTCTGTATGTTATTGGGTCTTATTAAAAAAGAAAATCCTATTACTTTTGGACATCAAAAATACTACTCAGAAGAAGTATTATTAGGCCACAAAATAATGTCCATGACATGGATGAAGTAGAAAAGCTTCAAATATTCATACTTATTTTTCAGAAAATAAAGATTTGTGCAGCACAGTTCTCACGTGACTCTTGACTGTTTTAAGGAACAAAATCAGTTATCTGAGGTATGTTTAAAGTATTTCAAAGATAATTACACTAGTCTTTTATTTGATCATACTGATTTGAAAAAAAAAAAGGAAATACTAGTCATTTGGAAGTTTTTTACTTTTTTGTTTAGTTTTGTTTCTGGGCTAGCACATTTATTTAAAAAACATTTCTAGGCCTACTATTGTAGGCTAGTCATAATTGCTTAGGCACTAGATTTTAAAACTAATAAGATGATGTTTAAGTAGTCACAAATAAAAATTTGTTCTTTTGTAAGCCTCATCAGCTCTACCAATTCCAAAGTACATTGAGTTCTCAAAGGTAAAACTTTTTTATTGTATCTTCTACTTTGCAAGTTTCTACTTCTGTTCGCATTCCCCTTTCAAGTTCCTAGTCACTCACACAACACCAACAAAGGACAGTATATTACTTCATTCTTATGTTACTTTGTGTATCTCTTGGTTAAAGATTTATACTATGTTGCTGTAATAGGAAGGCAGAATAACTAAAGGAATATGAAGGTAATAACATGAGAGTTATTACATTGTTTGGGAAGAATATTGAAGAGACAAAGGATGGTAAAGTGAGCCAAACAGCATCTTCAGGAACCTGATTGATGAGCCCTATTTAGGTGTATTTTGGGATTCTAGTTATTCTTATAGCTGATGGATTATCATGTTATTCTATGAATTAAATTTTCACTAAAGATGTTTGCAGTGGTTTCCCTGTACACTGCAAGATAACTTCATAAATAGGATTAGTGAACTCAGGGCCTTGGTCTGTCTCTAAGCTTTTGCACTCAAGGCTAGCATTTTACCACTTGGAGCCACAGCACCACTTCCAGTTTTCTGGTGGTTAATTGTAGATAAGAGTCTCAAGGACTTTCCTGCCCTGGCTGGCTTTGAACCATATTCCTCAGATCTCAGCCTAGGATCTTAGCTAGGATTATAGTTATGAGCCACTGGCATCCAGCTTTTTACTTTTAAGTCTTTGTATTTTTTGAATCATTTTACATTTTACAACAATTTACATGGTTGTAAATTAGATTGTATTAATTGCATACTGACTGTATTTGGAGTATTTCTTTTGACCATAGCCCTGTGCATCTTTTTTTATGTAGATTTTTTTTTTTTATTACAAGTGATAAAGCTGACATACTTTTACTGACTCAGTGGTTGACTTAATGTGTTGATGGGACTTGATCAAAGGAGGAATTAATATAGAAAATAGAATCAAAATAGAATTAATATAGAAACTTGAAGTCAGTATCAGAATGTGGGTTCCATCTTTGTCAATAACCCTTCTGGGCATCCTTTGAGCATCAGATAGTTTATGCTTTGGCTTTTTTCAAACTCCTCAGCTTGCATTGTAAACTTTTTGCCCTTTTACTAATGATCCTTTTACACTTAGGTGACCAGGTTGTTTGAGCCCTTATGAGACTTTTCTTCATCTACATTGCTGCCATATAGGCTTGCTATAAAGTTCCTTTTTGTCATGTGGTGCTGACATAAACCTAGCTGCTGGCTATAGGAAATTGTCCTATACCTGCAGTGCCTGCCTTGCTAATTTTTTTTAGGAGCTTTCAGAGGACTTGTTTAAGATTTCAACTCATTTCCTGAGCTTTGTTCAATAAATATTGAATATGTACCCTTACCTTGGGCTCTGGACTGTTCCAGATGCTTGGGATTTACTTTATATTCTCAAATTAAATAAGAAATATAGTGTATTTGAAGATAAACAGAGACAAGAAGAAAAGAAAAAGGGGAGTGAAGTCAGGAGAGATGGAATGGGGTGGAGATCATGGTGGTTTGGCATTTTAGATAAACATAGGCTACGTTTAGAAGGTGAGTTTTTAGCAAGGTAATCATGAAGGGAGGCAGGGCAAAGCCATGTGAGTTTCAGGAAGTTATATTTTTAGGCAGAACACTGGTACAAAGGCCTTGAGCTTGTATGGTATGTATTCAGGAATCACAAGGGGGCCATGGTGGCAGGAATGAAGAAAGCCAGAAGTCAGGAAGTTAGAATTTAAGTTAGGGGTGAGAATTCTGGGCAGATAGTAAGGCTGCAATAGTGTGAATGTTTGTGATTCCCTAAAATTTATGTGCTCATAATCCTCAGTGCCTTAGTCTTGAGAGGTGGAGAGGTATCTGGTGATTAGGTCTTAAAGACAAAGCTCTTACGAATAGGTGCCCTTATCAATGAAGCTAGAGGAAGACTGTATTTCTTCTTGCCATTTGAGGCTGCTTCAAGGAAATACCACCTGTGATGCAGAAAGTGAACCCTCGCCAGACACCTTTATTTAGGGCTTCCTGGACTCCAGAACTATGAGCAATAAATTTCTGTTACTTACAAGAAATTTCAGCTGTCATAGCCTTTACTTATAGATCTAAGACAAGAGTCTTTCAGCCTTTATAAGTCTCTTTTTTTAAAAAAAAAAAGTCTGAATGTTGTAAGGATCCATTGCAAAATTTTGAGCAGAGGAACATTATGATGTAATTTTAGAAGACACTTAACCCTACAACCCTAGGAAATATGTAGGATTAAGACCCAAAAGAAATGAAAATGTATGTCCTCAGGAAAACTCATACTTGAATATTGATAGTTACTTTAGTTATAACCCCTAATTGGAAGCAATGCAGATGCCCTTCTGGTAAATGGACAAACCAATTTTGGCAAAACCACTCACAGAATATTACTTAGTAATAAAACAGAATGAAGAGTTGCTGGTACAGATAGATACAGAGAGAGAGAGAGAATCTCAAGTGATATACAAACCCAAGAGTATTACCCCAATTTAAATAAGCCAAACAAGAAAGATTGTAGAGTTTCATTTTGTTTGAAATTCCAGAAGAGTTGAAATGATAGTGACAGAAAACAGACCAGCATTTTCTGGGAGTTCAATTCATAACATCATTATGAATTTGACAATCTAAAAGAACACCCATCTATTACTTTAAATTTAGGAGGTCAGAAATCCAGATGGGCTCAAGTAGTTCCCTGACCTGGTTCCCACAGGCTGAAGTCAAGGTCAAATGGACTGACCTCCACCCTAGGTGGTGGCCAAGAGAAGAACCTGCTTGCATGCTCATTTGCACTGTCGGCAGATTTATTTCTTCATAGGACTCAGACCCCTGCTTCTTTGCTATCTGCTAAACAGGATTTCTTCTCTGATCCAAAAGGCCACCCACATTTCTTCTCACAGAGAGCCCCCTCTCTATCTTTAAAGCAGTAGTAGTAGCACATCGAGTATTTCTCATTTTGCAAAAGTGCTCCAGCCTGAGAGAAGAGGTCTCTGCTTTTTAATGGCTCACATGATTTCAGTAGAGCCAACTAAATAATCCACTGATCTTTTTTATCCTTTGGAGGGATTTGAATTTAGGGCCTTACACTTATTAGAGGAACTCTACCACGTGCGCCACATCTTCAGCCCTTTTTTTGCTCTAATTATTTTTCAGGTAGGGTCTTGACATTCATTGCCCAGAGCTGGCCTCAACTATTATCATCCTGTCTAATGCCTCACATCCCTGGGACCATCTTACATCTCTGGGACCATATGCTACCCTGCTCTCAACTACTTTTTGTCTAAGCTAGCCTCAAACCACATTCCTTCCAATCTCTACCTCCTGAGTAGCTGGGATTTCAGGAATGAACCACTGGACTTAAATGTCAACTTATTCATCACATTTACAGGTTTTAGGGAGTAGAATGTGAAAGCTGGGGCTCAGGGTGGGTATAGTTTTAGAATTCTGCTTATGACATTGTTAGAAGTTTCTTGGTGATGGAAATGATTGCTTGTGGTCATGATTATAGGACTGTAGTTTTGTTAGAACTCATTGAACTCTGCATTGGGATGTTTTGCTGAGCACAATGTACACTTCAGCAAAACTGGTTAATTGTAAAGAACTGGATATAAAAATACCAATTGAGAAAATAAATCAACACTAATGACATGACTGGGCGCTGGTGGCTCACACCTGTAATCTTAGCTATACAGGAAGCTGAGATCTAAGGATGGCAGTTCCAAGCTAGTCCCTGCAGAAAAGTCCTTGTGAGACTTGTCTCCAATTAACCATTCAAAAAAACTAGAAGTGGCACTGTGGCTCAAGTGGTAGAGTGTTAGCCCTGAGCACAAAGAGTCTCAGGGACAGCACCCAGGCCCTGGACAAGCCCTACAACCAACAAAAGAGAGGGAGGGGGGTAGGGGGAAGGATTTAATTGGTATTCTTACTTCTAGACTTTCTCTTAGGGTTAGATTCCCTCTGGTGTACTTCCCTTTCTGCTACCAGCGAGGAGATTATAAAACTGAAGGTCATAAAGTTGGATGCTCTGAGCCACTTCAGCCCCAGGCCTTATTAAATATTGTAGCATTTGCACAAAACATAGCAGATTGTGGCTTCAGTGGGTTTATTTATCTGACTAGCTGTTGTGCTGTCACATAAAATAACTACTAAGAAAAATACTGTCCTTTTGACGCCAATGTAACTGTCATTATCATAAGCCTGGTTTGACTGACTTTCTTTTATCCTTCTTTCTGTTTTCATCTGTCCTTTGGTTGGTTTTGCTTCTATGTGTTCGTGATTTGCAAACATTATGTCCAACCCCAATCACAATCCTAGAAAAGATGTCAAGATGAACTTGTTTATTTGGATGTCAACTAGACTACTTCTTTTGGATGTTGTGTAGAAGCTGAGGCATTCTGTTCCGGAGGGAGCTCCACTGTTTGCCAAAACAAAACTCATTCTGCTGCCTAAGTTGGTGCAGGCATCCCTCTTCTGGTCCAGGCAGAAAACTGGGAAGTTGCTTCTCTGGCTGATGACTTCATTTCTGAGAGGCCTGTCATCCTAGTCCTATAATTCTACTCTCCTGTAGGGAAGGCCTGAGCCTCTCTTCACATCCTTGGCTTGCACACTTCCTCTCCTCAGAGAGCCCCACAATCATGGGGGAATTGTTGCCAAGTTGATGCATAGCCAGTACTAGTATGCTTTAATTTACAATCTTTCAAGGTTCAAATGTGTGTTTA